TTTAAGTTACCTTATCACTTTTGGACTATTACTCTGGAGACCAGGTTTTGATTCCCAGCTCAGCCATGGAAACCCACTGGGTGGCATTGGGCAAGTCACACCCTCTCAGCTTCAGAGGATGGCAATGACAAACCTCCCCTGAACAAACCTTGCTGAGAAAACTGCAGGATAGGTATGCCTTAGGTTCACCGGAAGTCAGAAATGACTTGAAGGCACCCAGCATCTTCAACGACAGTCACTTTTAGAAGCCTCCAGGAGTGGAGACTGATCTTTTTTTGAAGTCTTTTAAATTTTTATGTGCCCCCCCCATCCCAAAACCCAAAGTTGGCAAGAAGGACAGCTTGGGGTTACACACAAGCCTGGATAACGCAAAAAAAGGGACCACTTGGGTCACATTTTGCTCATCCCTCCTTTTTTTTTATTTGTGGGGTGCAGCAATGCTGCCATCCTGCAACAATCGGAATAAAAACTGCATCACCATCTTCTTAATAATAAGTACATCAGCAGCAACAAGATACTCTGGAGTGGTTTTTGGCACCCATTAACCATCTCTTTCCCCTCCCTGCTGTAGTGAGAGATTGACTTTTTCTTTGGTTTCTGGCCTTTAATTTTCTTCGCTGTGATGGAGATGTCAATATATACAGGGTCAGTTTAACAGGCTAGACCTGTCCCCTGCCACGGCTGCAGGTCCAGCAGCTCAGCTGTAGCAAGAGTATCCCCATCATCCAGGCATTGGGGCTTCTCTGATGCTTGTCAGGTTTTCTTGAGGTCTGGGAACATGCACTATAATTTAATGCAACTTGTATAAGACTGTAGCCTATGCAATCTTCACATAGAGCCCAAGGTTGATGGGGTAGAGTTTACTTGAGCTTGAAAAAGTTGTTTTTGGAAGGGACTGTAACTCCCATGTTGTTATTGTTAATTGCTGTCAAGTCAGTTTCAACAAAAATTTATTATTATTATTATTATTATTATTATTATTATTATTATTATTTCTGACAGTTGTTGCAAGTTTTCACATCTCCACTGGCTTCTTCATCAGGCAAAGGTGTTAAAAATCATGCAGTAGAAGAAGAAAAAAATGACAGTGTTAGAACCACAGGTCTTCATTTTTTCAAGATGTTGCTTTTGTTGTAAAAAAAAAAATTAACCTGGATTTCATGACTATCTCCCAGAGCCTACATGACCAAAAAGCATAAATGGCCTGCTGTGGTCATCCCTCCAAATTGTTTTAACTAACAACAACATCTCAACAAAATGTAGGCCTGTGGCACATATGATTTTTAATACCTTTGCTGCATGAAGAAGCCAGTGGAGCTTTGAAAGCTTGTATGATGTATTTTGGACACTTTTGGTTGGCCCAATAAAGGTATCCCTGTTTTGTGGGTTTTGGATGTTATTGTATTTTGCTGTATGGCCAACAGAGCTACCCCTGGATATGATTTCAAGCTTTATGGGAATTTCTCAGGGAGTTGGGAATCTTTAGCTTGGAGGAGAAATGATACCAAGGTGATGTGATATTAAATATCTGAAAGGATGTAATGTAAAAGGTGGATCGAGCTTCTTTTCTGCTGCTCCAGAATGGATTTGAATTAAAAGAAAGGAGGAAGAACTTTTTTACTGCAAGAGTGGTTGGACACTGGAATGGACTGCATCAGGGAGAGAAGGTGGACTTACTTTTTTTGACATTGACAGGTTGGATGGGCCTCTCTTGGGATTGCTTTAATTGTGTATTCCTGCATGGAAGGGAGGTTTGGACTAGGTTGGCCCCTGTGGTCCCTTTCTATGGTACTGTGTAAGAAAAAGGGCAGGTAACATCTCTTTCTAGGACTCTATGAAGGGCTATCAGGTGGAAAGTGGACTTAGCTTGTTCTCTGCTGCTCCAGAAGGCAGGGCCAAATGGCAAGAAAAGAACCAAATGGCAAGAAAGGGGACTCTGACTGAACATTAGGAAGTACTTTGTTTATTTATTTATTTATTTATTGCACTTCTGTCCCACCTTTCTCCCTAAATGAGATCCAAGGCAGCTTATGATGATTGTTAAAAGGTCCAGCGAAAACATTAATATATAGTTCTTCACTGCAAGAGGTTTTTTTTTAGACAGTGGAAGAAGCTGTCTTCTTTGGAGGTCTTTAAGAAGAGCTTATGTGGTCACCTGTAGCTTGTTTTTTTTTTGGTTTTTTTGGCAATATAATTTATATTGTATTTTACTATTGCATTTTTAGTGTTATATTCTAGTATTGTATTTTAGTATTTTATATTATTGAAGTAGTTCTAAATGTTTTATTCTGTTGTAAAGTGCCATGTCCATTGATGGTGCTATATAAATAAATGATGATGAAAACAACAACAATAAAAACAATCAGGCAAGGATGCTTTAGCTGGGGATTTCCTGGGGTGTGGAATAGATGATCCTTGGGATCTCTACCTGTTTTGCTCTTCATTCATTCTCCAGAGGTTGGCTGACTTCTGATTTCCTGACAATGGGGAGAGCAAAGGGAATATGGTGGCATGGCACTTCAACCTGGTCCTATGCCCTTTTAAATTCCTGGCTTCTCTCTCTAGGCTCAGAAGTGTCAGCCTTGCAGCCTAGCAAACTCTCCTGGCCCTTTTCCAACATGCAGCATTACTAGCCAAAACTGTTCAAGAATTTCCATGCAGGCTCTGAGACAGACTGCATGACAGCTTGGAGCAGGAATCACAGAAACATAGAATTGGAAGGGACCCAGCCCCCTGCCGTAAAGAAATATACAGCTAAAGCACCCCAAAAAGATGGCCATAAAACCTAGGCTTAAGGACCTCCAACAAAAAAATTCACTACCTTCTCTACCAGTCTGAAGCATCTCTGACAGTCAAGAATTTCTTCCTACCATTTAGGTGGAAACAGTCTTCCTTTAATTAGAATCCATTTGCTGTATATACTCATGTATAAGTCTCAAAATGTTAGTTAAAAAAAATGACCTCAAAACCCTGGGTTGACTTATCCATGAGTCAATATAAATCAGGTACTTCTAACTCTTATAAAAAAGGGAACCTTTCCCTGTTGAAGGCAAGAGTGCAATCTGTCTTGAAAGCCCTGACCTCCCTCTAGTCTCTCATCCATCTAGCCTTTAGTATGAGCACAAACAGTTGTGCTTGATGGAATTTGTAAGTTCTTTAGCATTGTTTTCCATTGCTTCATCCTTTAGATCCTTTGCTACATACCTCTACGCTTTACCCTTGACTTATCCTCGAGTTATGTTTAAATCCATAATTTTGGCCCCCTTGACTTACACATGAGGTCAACTTATAGATGAGTATATACAATAATTTGGATTTGGATTTGTATCTATTTAATTTGAAAGGGGTGACAGGGATCACCTAGTCCAAGCCCTGGCCATACGGGAATACACAGTTAAGGCAATCCCAAAAGAGGTCCATCGAACAACCTCTATACAAAGTACACTCTTACAGTACAGAAGTTCTTCCTAACATTTAGGTGGAGTCTCCTTTCTTTTTATTTGAATCCACTGGTTCTAGTCTCTGTAGCAGCAGAAAAGAAGCTCAGTCTATCCTTTCAGATATTTAATATCATATCACCTCTTCATCTTCTCTCCTCCAAGCTAAAGATTCCACTCTTACCGTAAAGAGGTCTTCCTAATATTTAGGAGGAATATCTTTTCTTATAATTTGACTCCATTGGTTCATATCCTGGTCTTTTGGAGCAGGAGAAACAAAGCTTGCCCCACCTTCTCCATGACATCCTTTCGATATTTAGACATCTCATTCCATCACTTCTTAGCTTTCTCTTCTTTTGGACGAAATGATGTGGGGTTTTTTACTGTAAGCCACTTGGATTGTCGCCAATAAGCGAGATACAAATAAATTTTATTATTATTTTTATTATTATTATTATAAATGATTCTTTCACCTAAAGTGAATTTGTTTAACACAACTTTGTTAAACAACAAAGTTGAATTGTGTTTGTGCTTCCAAGCACTTTGTGTGTGCCTCCAAGTTGTTTCTGATGTAAGGTGACCCTATCACAGGGTTTTCTTGGCAAGACTTGTTCAGATCCTCTGAGGTTGAGAGAATGTGTCCAAGGTTGCCATGGCTGAGCAGGGATTCGAACCTTGGTCTCCAGAGTCATAGTCCAACATTCAAATCACTGTACCATACTGGCTCTCTCCAGCTAGCAGCTCACATAAAGCAGCTAAAGCAGCTTCATTTATATACCACTTCATATCGCACTGTGGGATGTCTAAGCGGTTTACAACTGTAAGCTCATTGCCCCCCAACAGTTGGGTATTCATTTTAGCGACCTTGGAAGGATGCAGGCCTGAGTCTAGCCTGAGCCCTGGCTAGTATTGAACTCGCAACCTTGTGGTCTGTGAGTGAGTGGCTGCAGTACATTGACTTCCCACTTCCCAAACCTAAGAATGTTAATGCTCAGTATATATATTTTCTCAATACTACTAACATTTTAATTCTACTTTAGATATAAAAAAAGTATCAAATTGCATTTCTAAACATTTGGCTGAAGTTTTAACTTATTGCAATGCTAGAAATTTGGGGATTGGAGGAAAATTTCATTGGGGAACCAAGCTGCACCCCTGTCTGTCCCCATGATAAATAATTCCCTTTTCTGCCTTTCCATATATCCTTTGCTGTCCCTCATCATTTAACTGAAGAGGATGGGATCACAGAAACATACAATAGGTGTGTAAAAGGTGTGTAAATCTTCCTTTGTTTCATTCTCATAGAAGAGGGCGTATAATTTACTCAGTGTTTCCTCTGCTGTGAGAAAGTATTTGAAAACCATGCAAATTCACAGTTCTAGGCAAATTCTATTAGAAAAAAAGGGTTTAGCGTTCTGTGCCCAAAATCATGCAGGGAATAAAGCCAGCATGGTGTAGAGTGCCAGTGTGATGTGTTGGTTTGAGCATTGGACTCTGTCTCAGGAGAGCAGGGTTCGAATTCCGGCTCAGCCATGGAACCCACTGAATGACTTTGGGCAAGTCACAGTCTCTCAGCTTTACAGGATAGCAATGTCAACCCTCTTCTGAAGAAACTTGCCAAGAAAACCCTGCAATAGGTTCACTTTAGGTCACCATAAGTTGGAAATGACTTGAAGGCACACAACAACAATAACATTTTTGTGAAGTCGTAGGCTTTCATGGCCGGCATCCATAGTTTTTGTGGGTTTTTCGGGCTGTGTGGCCATGTTCTAGAAGAGTTTCTTTCTGACGTTTCGCCAGCATCTGTGGCTGGCATCTTCAGGGTCTCGCAGGGTCTCACAGTATATATAGACCTATTCTCTTCCATTCCAGTTTTCTCTGAAGATGCCAGCCACAGATGCTGGCGAAACGTCAGAAAGAAACTCTTCTAGAACATGGCCACACAGCCCGAAAAACCCACAAAAACTAATAACATTTTTGTTTGTTCGTAAACAAAACAAAACAATATAATTTTCTGCCTTCAAATACCATATTGGATTTCAGTGCATACACAATAAGTTCCAACCTGTAAAACTTTTCATTGCATTGGGTTCCCTTCCCCTTTCCATCTGTTTTTCAAATATTTCTGAATATTACTTCATTCCTGCAGAGTTGGAAGGTATCCAAAGGGTCATCTTGTTCATTCCTCTGCCACTGGCAGAATCCACAAGTCAACAACTTTGAGATGGACCTTTCTTCTGCAATGTCTCATTTCATGGTGCTGCCTCTCAACTTTGGAGGGAAGAGCATCACAGCCTTCCTTTAAGGGAAGTTTTGAGAGGTGTAAGGCCACCGAAATTGGACAAAGTCCCTCTCAGGCAGACAGGTTGCAGATCCGGGAGGACTGGAAAGCACAAGGTGGTGTAGAATCATAGACTTGGAAGGTCACCTAATCCAACCCTCTGCCATGCAGGAATACACAACTAAAACAGTCCTGATAGATGCCCACCCAACCTCTGTTTAAAGGCCTCCAAATCAGGAGAGTCCACCACCCTCCAAGACAGTATATTCCACTTTCCAACGGCTCATACATCCAGAGGTTCCTTCATATGTTTAGGTGGAAACTTGTAATTTCATAGAATTGGGAAGGGACCTCATGGGCCAACTAGTTCAGAGGCTTGTTGTGTACAGAACCACAACTAAAGCACTCCTGGAAGATACCCATCCAACCTCTGCTTAAAGACCTCTAAAAAAGGAAGGTTTACCACCCACCAAGGCATTTTTCCCTTCCTTTAATCTGCCTTATTCAAGACCAGTTTTAAATGAGATCTCCATGTGTCCTAGCTAGGGATGAGAATGAATGAGCATCAGTGCAGAGCAGAGCAGTTTGCAAATTCAAAGATATTGCTGTCTTAGTCTGGAAAATCAGTATGCAAAGGGATCTTGTGGCATGTTTGAGGCTAACTGAAAGAAAGAAGCTGGTGGCATGCACGAGCTTTCGTAGACTTGAGTCTACTTGCTCAAGAAGTTGTGCAGAATTTGTGGCTTAGCCAAAGAGCCTTCAAGCGTCTCAGTGTGCAACGCTGGGCAACGGAGGGGGCAGCTTTATTTTTGCAAAGGAAGACAGAGATGTATCTCCCTGGCACTTGATGTCTAGGGATGGACTTAGATTTGGCAGCAGTCCTCTCACCTGTGCTGCTGTGCTCTTGGCTTGGGTGTGTAGGCGTTATTGCTGGGGATGGTGTGTGAGAAACCTGCAGTTCCCAGAGGTCTGTGTATGTGTGTGTGATGCAATCCCTTGTGGGCACAGTGCGTTGGTGCTGGAGAATTAAAGTGACTAGCTTGCTAAATGTATCCAAATTATTTGGAACATCTTATAGTGGCAGCGTGGCATGGTGGTTTGAGTGTTGGACTATGACTCTGGAGAACAGGGTTCAAATCCCTGCTCAGCCATGGAAAACCACCGGGTGACCTTGCCCACCAGTTCTCAGCCTCAGGAGAAGGCAATGGCAACCCTTACCCCAAGCAAATCTTCCCAAGAAAGCCCAAGGATAGGTTCACCTTAGGGTTGCCATAAGCTGAAAACAACTTGAAGGCATACAACAACAACAACAACAACTGCCTCTGTGACCCATTTACCAGTCATGGAGATTTCTGGCCTAGGAGTACAAAAGGAATATGGAATAACTAAGAATGAGGGCTTCCATTTTTATTATTTTCATCACAATCAACATGTTTCAGCATTTTTTAAAAATTCAAAACTAGAAAAAGGCAAGTGTGAAAATAAACAGCCAGGTTATGTAAGTATTGCATAAGTAGACTAAGCTTAAGTATGTAATGATGGCTTTTTCTTTTGCCAGCCTCAACTTTTCTTATGATTTCCCAATTTGGTGGCAAAATGCATTAATTTCTGTGGGGGTTTTAACATGCTGAATGTAGCTGGTAAGATAGGTTTATCTGCTGTCCCATTTTCTCTGTTTTCTGCTGCTGTTCAACCATGTTCAGAAAGGGACTCTGGAGGTAGACATTGCTTACCTTGTCAGGTTTGGGTGGCTGCAGTGGGATTAGATTAGAATTTGGCTCTTCCCCAGTTCAACCTTTATATTTATAGTAAGCACAGTGCTTCAACCTGACACTGAACATCTGTGTTCCACCTTCACCACCCTCCCAGTACCAATGCTGCTACAAATCCTCCTGTTAGACAAGGGCAAGGAGGGAAAAAGGACTGGGAAGGCATAAAAAGACTTTGTGGAAAGGAACTTCACTGTCACAGGTTTTGTTAATTGAAGCATGAATGTAACGTTAATAGATTTTCAACTCTTGCACAACACACACACATATAATGTCTAGCTGGAAGGTCTCCATCTGGATTTAGGGTCTGCATGAATCATTTGCATGGAGGGATGATGCAGAGTGCATCCAAAATCATCCCCCTCCCCCAGTCTTCCTGGGATTGCTGCTATAAAAGTGGGCACCAGCAGCCCTTGGCAAATTGCAGAGCACCGTGTTCTGCATCCATAGGTCTAGCAAGAAGTGCATGAAGGAGACTGGAAAGGCTGCATCTCTCTGAATCAGTCTAACCAAACCATCCCCACGTCCAACTCTCCCCACCAGCTCAGCATAGCTCTACCCTGCAATCAATCAATCAATATATATATGAGAAATAGAAAAGCCCAACAGATGGCAAGTTCTAGCATGCTCAGCCTCCCAACAAAGTGAACTGATAATCTCTCTCTCTCTTTTCCTTGTTGATTGAAAGAGGGATGCCCCCATGCTTGCATGCCTCCAAGACAATTCTGCTGTGTGGAGATGTGGCTTAAAAACAAAATCTGGTACTGCAGAATCATCCTTTGAGCTCAGAAATCCGTGGTCTTTCATGGGATGAATAGCATGGGACTTAGAAGGCTAGTGAAAAGCATCTGGGGACCTGGATTAGCTCCAGTAACAGCTCACACACTCACACTCACAGACTTTTATGCCTGTGAGAGCTGTTCAAGGAAGGATGGCATGGAAATTGATGGAAGGATTGGTTGATTGACTTTCGTACCATACTTCATAGAATAACATACACTGCAACATTTCCCAGATGAAAACCAAGGCACATGTGGCCAAGCAACATCAGAGTGTGGTCAAGATAGCAATGAGGAAGCACAAATAAGCTAATAGAGGCTGCAGCAGCTTGCTTTTGCCAGAGCCTCCTGGGAAGGGCTAGATTGCAGCCCCTCCTCTGCTCTCCCTCCTGCTAAGTCAACTGAAGTCGAGTGAATTCTGGGGGCTGTACTTTTTGTGAGACATTTAGCATTCTCTGTCAGAGGGCTCTGGTGCCACACTAAACTACAATTCCCAGGATTCCGTAGAACTGAGACAGGGCATTTAAAGTGATCTCAAACTGGATTATTTCTGCAGTGTGGTTTGGACCTGAGTGCAAACTCCTTTTGCCCTTTGAACTCAGTTTGCAGCAACAAAAGGAAGCTGAGGATAAAGGGGGAAAGTGAGAGGAGGAGGAAACTGGGACCTGTAAGAAGGAACTGCAAAGATGGGACAGCAGATGATTAATCAGAACTGTCCTTTCCAAACTGAGACAGTCAGAACAGCTTGAACAGCAATTGAGGGTGGCAGCATTTTTGGAGCTGTTTAAATTAAATTAAATTAAATTAGATACAGTGGCACCTAGAGAAACCTCCAAGGTCACCCAGTGGGTTTCATGGCTGAGTGGGAATCGAACCCTGGTTTCTAGAGTCTTACT